GAGGACACATTTGTAATACCTTAACTAATAAAAAAATTAAAAAAATAAAAAATAAATAAAAAATACTATCTCCTCCATGAAAAGAATTTGTATATACGAAAGTTAATACAATTATAATGCATGATTTATATACAGTATTTACATAGTTGTAATGGAAATTCCATCACATTTGTAATACCTTAACTAATAAAAAAATTAAAAAAATAAAAAATAAATAAAAAATACTATTAACTCCATGAAAAGAATTTGTATATACGAAAGTTAATACAATTATAATGCATGATTTATATACAGTATTTACATAGTTGTAATAATGGAAATTCCAAATATTTAAACAAGAGTTGTGCTTTAATGTGCTGGGAGGACAGCAGGAGGGGAAGTGTGTGTGTGTGTGTGTGTGTGTGTGGTAAGAGAGGAGATAGAGCCAGGAGAGAGTCAGATGCCCGTCATCCATAATAGGAAGTCAATAGACAAGGTCTAAGATTTTAAAAATCAAGACATGGCAGTAAAAGCAGGTAATTAAGAAATATGGGGATAAGTGCAAAAAGAAACAGCTAAAAGCAATGCAAGTAGCCACTTTAAGGAGTGGGAAATGAGGGATGTAGCAAAGTGGGTCAGGAATGGAGGGTAGGGGCCATGGTGTGCCGGTGAATGTTCAACAACTGGTTCTCCAGGGGGGAAAAGGCCCTGGTTTTGAGCATTTGCCCATGTGAGTGGTGTAAATATTCCCACCGTGGCTAATTTCAAGTTGCCGGGAGGATATCACCAAAAGCAGAGTTAGAGGAGAATCACAATAGCACACGTTACTAATATTTCTACCATTAGATACAGCCATCCCTTGGTATCTTCAGGGAATTGGGTCCAGGACCCCTGAGGACACCAAAATCCACAGACCCGCAGATGCTCAAGTGCCTTATAATTTACGCATACTCTCTCATATACTTTAAATCATCTCTAGGTTACTTATAATACCTAATACAATGTAAATACTATGTAAATAGCTGTCATTTTGCATTGTTTAGGGTATAAAGGCAAGGAAAAGTCAGTACATGTTCAGTACAGATGCAACCATTATAGGCCTAATTACATAGTACAGGCCAGCAACAACGTAACGTCCCCCTCCATATTTTAGGTCTATGTTTGGTTGAATCTGCCGGTGTGTGTAGAATCCCAGCGTGTGAGAGACATAACCTCAAGAGCACAAACTAGTAACATAATTAGAAAGTAATGACTTTAATATTTAGTACCTCTGCTTTTAATATAATTTATTTAATTGAAAGTTTGCATAATTTAATTGTTAATAATAGCCGTGTTTAACAACCAACTTGCAAAACTGAAAATGTAACAACAGGCTCTCACAGGCCAGGACAAGCCGACTCCCGCACATCACGTGGGGCGCTGTGGGCCCTGTCACACTGTCAGACTTCATGAACTCTGTATAATTTTCACTTTGCTAGACAGAAAATTAGAGAGCACACAAGTAAAATGCACGCGCCAGGTGTTCTAAAGGACGCTTGTTCCGAAATCTTAAAAGAATGTGAACAATCCAAAAATAAATAAAAGATGGAAAAAAAATGTGAACAATCCTCTTGCAGATCCCCTAAATGCCTGTTTTCCTTTAAAAAAATATTTTTTATTGATTTCAGAGAGGAAGGGAGAGGGAGAGACAGAACCATCAATGATGAGAGAGAATCATCCCGGACATATCCCCTTGACTGGAATCAAACCCGGGACCCTTCAGTCTGCAGGCTGACGTGCTATCCACTGAGCCAAACAAGCTAGGGCCGAATGCTTCTGTTCTCTGTTCCAGTTTCGGTGTGGGGTGTGAGTAGAGACCAAATCCAGACCTGGCCCTTGACTGCTGCACAGTGCTACCTTCTCATACTCGTACACACACTGATACGCACACCAACACTAACAGCTGTGGTTACCTTATTACATTAATGTAGTCAAACTTAATCCTCAGAACCCCATCTTACAGCTGAGAAGGCAGAGGTTTAATGAGTGGAGTCAAAGCTTCTTAGTGTTTATAACTTAGAATCACAGAACAGTCCCAGCGGAAGGTTCTCAGGGGCCTGGGTCTCCTCTGCCACCTGGTCCTTGAACCGCAAACAGAGCTTCAGCCTCAACAGACCTTGTTGCTGCTACTTGGCGTCCACAGTCACCAGGGAGACATTCTCACTGTCGGTGGACCACATCCTAAGGCCTCAGAGGACAAATCCGGTCCCTGTTCGGTGGGACAGGCCTTCCACATGAAATGTGGGGTGGCAGCTATTGCATACCCTGAGCTTCTCAGGGAAGAACCCAGGGTTGGGGATCGGGTTGTATCTCAAATACACTCCATCTACCAAAGACAGAGTTGGAAGCGGCCAGACGCAGGCCTCTCTACAGGGTGGGAGGGAGTGGGAGGTAACCTGCCACCTTCCCACAGGTCCACTTGAGAGGGTCGCAAAGACCTTTGAAAGGTTCATAGGCTTCGACCAATAATTCCACTTTGGGAATTTATCCGAGAGGAATCAACAGAGAAGCACATGAACACATCCACTGCTGCCCTAGCTGGTTTGGCTCAGGGGATAGAGCAGTGATGGCGAACCTATGACACACGTGTCAGAGGTGACACACGAACTCATTTTTTTGGTTGATTTTTCTTTGTTAAATGGCATTTAAATATATAAAATAAATATCCAAAGTATAAGTCTTTGTTTTACTATGGTTGCAAATATCAAAAAATTTCTATATGTGACACGGCACCAGAGTTAAGTTAGGGTTTTTCAAAATGCTGACACGCCGAGCTCAAAAGGTTCGCCATCACTGGGATAGAGCATTGGCCTGCAGACTGAAGGGTCCCAGGTTCGATGCTAGGTTGTGGGTGCGATCCCCAGTAGGGGGCATGCAGGACGCAGCCAATCAATGATTCTCTCTCATCATTGCTGTTTCTCTCTCTCCCTCTCTCTGAAATCAATAAAAATATATTTTAAAAAAATTAAGACATCCACTGCTGTCTTATTTATCATAGGGAACAGTCTTTTAAATGCCCAACAATGGGGCATCACCAAAATGAGTTGCAGTACACCAATATAATGGAATATTATAAGTGCATTTGAAAATCACATTTTCAAAGAATATTTAATGACATGGGACTTGTTCAAGATATAATGTTTAGTGAAACAGTCAGAACCAAGTTAAATACATAAAATGATCTCTACCTATTAAAAAACACACAGTCTGTAAGACAATACATCAACTTGTTCAGAGTGGCCATCTTGGGCTAGGTGAATATTAGTGGTTTTCACTTTTTCCACAATGAACATTTAAAACTTTTATTAAAAATATAAATGTTATTTATTTAAAACACACACACACACACACACCCTATAGCTTTGATTGAAGAATATTCCTCTCTGGTTTTGGTCAAGCAGATTTTATTTTTTAAAAATATTTTTAAAATTGATTTCAGAGAAGAAGGGAAAGGGAGAGATAAAAACATCAATGATGGTAGAAAATCACTGACTGGCCGCCTCCTGCATGCCCCACACTGGGGACTGAGCCTGCATATGCCCTGACCAGGAATTGAACTGTGACCTCCTGGTTCATAGATTGATGCTCAACCACTGAGACACCCAGGCCAGGCAGTCAAGCAGGTTTTAAAGAAATAAGGTGCAGCTGGAGTCGACCAGGTTTACACGTTTCAGAAGCTTTTGTGGAACATAAATGTCTTTGCTCATACAGGCTTCTCTGCTCCCTTGTTACCAAGAATGGTTTGGAGGCGGGGAATAAGATCCTTTAAATTGAATAAAATTATATAACTAATTGAAAGCTGGTTTCAGTGTGTGTGTGTGTACAGCCAAGGCCAGGCCCTCTCCCTGGGAAGGTCGGCAATCGGCTTACCCAGCAGCCTACCCACCCAGGGGAGTGGCGGGTGCTCTGGGCCTCAGTCCAGGCTTTATGTGAACCCAGTGAACTGACTAAAGATGAGATTTTCAAAACAACCTGCATTGCAGCTTCAGCTTCCTAGAATCTTGCAATGCTGCAAAGCTGAATTTTGTGCACAGGAGCCAAATGTTTTCTTACCTGGGGAATCAGCTTAGCAAGGCAGAAAGAACAGACTCTGAGCAGGAGGTAGGGTTTCTAGGCCCAGTTCCATACCCATCTGGCTGGCTGAATGACCTTGAACATGACCCTGGACTCTCAGGGCTTCCCATTCCCAGACCCTGGGCTAATGCCCTCCCGCTTCTTACTGTATGAAGCAAGGCACACCTGCTCTCAGAAAGACGCAGGATGGCAGTACTAATGATAACTAAAAAAGAGAAGGGTGGTAGTAAGAGACCATTTGACAAGTGCTTATAAAGTGCTAGGCCTTGTGCTAAGCAATTTGTATACATTACTAGAGGCCCAACGTACGAAATTTGTGCAAGGGGCTCAGCCCCCGCCACTGCCATGGCTGCCTTGGCCCCCGTAGCCCTGGCTTCGTCCAGAAGGTTGTCCAGAAGGATGTCTGGTCTAATTAGCATATTAAGCTTTTATTATTATAGACTAGTGGCAAAATTAGCATATTACGCTTTTATTATTATAGACTAGTGGCAAGGTGCAATAAATTCATGTACATTGAAAGGAGATTAATTAGGAGAAATATTTTAATATTGCTATTTGCCCTTTCTCTATAATAGAAGTGTCAGAGATGAAAGAAAAGTAGTAAAATGTATATGAAAATCTTCCTCTTGTCAGAGTCTGGGGCGCGCCGCAGGACCCAGAGTCAAGTCCCCACCCACCTGCGGCACCTCAAAATCATGCGAGACCCAGACCCAGCCGGCACCACCCCCATTGGGCAAGATCCAGACCTGGCCGGCCCCACCCTTGTCAAGCCTGGCGCTGGGAGGAGGGCACAGCCTCAGGTCTCCTGTCAAGCCCTGCCGGGTGGGTGTGCCCTGAGGTCCCCCATCAAGCCCCCCTGGGCAGGGGCACAGCCTCAGGTCCCCTGACCCAGTGCTGGGGCGGGGGGAGCGGCCTGAGGTCCCCCGTCAAGCCCTGCTGGGCGGGGTTGTGCCCTGAAATCCCCCATCAAGCCCTGCCGGGCGGGGAGCACAACCCGAGCTCCCACGGCCTGGTGCCAGGGCGGGGGGCACAGCCTGAGGTCCCTGCTGATTGCTTGTTAAGGCTCGTTACAGGAACTCAGCCTCCGCTGTGAGCGCAGCCATCTTGACCGTTATGGTGTGATGGTCAATTTGCATATTCCCTCTTTATTAGATAAGGTTTTATTTAATTCTTGTAATAGCCTTACATAGTTTTATGAAATCCTTTTAACCCTCCAGTATCAATCCATCTTATGGAAGAGAAAACTGAGCTCTGGGAGGTGACCTCCCGAAGGCCACGCGGCTGGGACGGGGGAGCTGCCATTTGCACTTGGCATTGTCTGGCTCTGAGGCATCTCTGCTACGCTGCCTCCTATTTCAGAATGTGGGTGAGACACCTGGTAAAGTAGGGGGGAAAGTGGGGTCCTAAGAAGGGGCTGGCTGGCAACTCCAGGTCCCCCTTAAACTTGCTCTTGCTGACTCTCCCTTCCCTCCCCCTTTCTCACCCAGACTCACCCCTCCCCTAGCGACTCCCAAACTTTGCTACATTTTGGAATCACCTGGGAAGTTTGAAAACCCCAGTGCCCACGTTGCACCCTGTATCAATTTAATCATACTGTCTGGGAGGGGGGAGCCAGACATCAGTGTTTTTTTAAGATCCCCCAGTGATTCCAATGGGCAGCAGAGTTTGAGAACCACTATTCTGCTGGGAGCCCCTGCAATGCTCATGCATTTTAAGACAGGCTCTGTGGCTGCCTGACTCAGTGTTAACCAGTGTAGGCGCGGAGGGTGGGGTGAGAAATCAAAGAACATCATTGCACACTTAATACAGACTCATTTGCAGAAACCACAGATAAAGCAAATAGAAAGATACCATCACATCAGGAGGACCCAGGGTAATGGATAATGCTGAACCCAAGAGATGGGTGATGTAATGGTGGACCCCCAAGCTTCCGGATGGGTGATGTGTTTGGATATGCCACCCTGGTCATCACATTCCCTCCTCCATGATCAGCCCCATGCATCCCAGACCATCCAATTAAGCTGCTCACAGTCTTCTCTGCTCTCTCTCCTCTGGATGGAAGTTGATATTAAATGAGAGAGAGCCATTGTGAAATAGACACTGTAGTCCCTCTCCCCAAAGCTCTGGGCAAAGGTCAGGTCCCCTGTGCCCAGCCTTCTTGTCTGAAGGAGGCCATACCCCCAACTCACAGCCCTTGATACTTCTCGAAGCACTTGCGCTTACATGATCTTAATATTGACCAGGGAAGTGTGACTCTGGTCACCCCACCGGGCAATGACAGCCACAGAGAGTTTGTGCAGGTTCAGAGCTCTGGGTACCACACGGCCTCCTCAGGCAGGAAAGGAAAAGAGAGTGCTTGCGCCATCTCTATGCCGTCAACACTAGCATTGGCCTGCTCCTCCCCCTGCCACGGAACCAAGCTCTCCTAGGAGGTGGGAGCACTAGGGACACGAGGCCTGTGGGTGTTCAGCTACAAGCTCTTCAGTGTCACCCTGTATTTGGCCGCAAGCAGGCCTCATCCTTCCAGAGACCCTGCCACAGAGAGAACCCCAGTGGAAACCCACCCCAAATGGGGAGAGACGAGGTATGAATGACCCTGAGGAGGAATAGAACCCGGTCAAGGTCAGGAGCAGTTCCCAGGTCGGCCCTCTGCTTTTGGGCCCAGAGGCCTGGACGTCTGCTGTGCTGGGGGCCCCACCAGACCTTCTCATGTTTTACAGAGGCTGCTGCCAGGAGTCTAAGAATCCCTCTTTTCCATTTGCCATCTGGCCCAGGGAAAGAGAGAAACAGGGACCCTCTGGCCTGAAGCTCCTCCTGCAACCCGCACCCCCTCCCCAACCCCATTCAGGGCTATTGTTTCTGCCCAGCCCACCTGGGAGTTAGGAGCATCACTAACCCTCTGTTCCAGTGGGAGGGGTGAGATCCAGGAGCAGGGCACTGGGCTCATGTCAGCCCTGCTGCTCACTGGCTGTGCGGCTGGGGACAAGTCTCTGTCCTGCTGGTCTGCGTCTCTCCCTCTGAAAAGTGAAGGTGTTCTGGAGGGACAGAGATAACAAATACGTGGTCCACGTGCCACCCGCAGGCTTCCGTCTCTGCAGCAGGCATCGCTAATGGCTCACTGGGTCCTGCCTGAGCCTTGCAATCCTTCTCGGTGGCCAGACTGGGCAAATGAGATGAAGTTTGAGTGTCTGCCTGGGGTCACATGACCCCAGAGCTCTGACAGCTGTTCACATGTGAGCGCCTTGCTAAGCCTCTGAGACTCGGGGACCTCTCGACATTCAGAGTGGATTCCCGGAGGCCTCTGCTACATTAATCCCCACATGCCTTCACCTCTGCCCCTTCCTCTCCAGCCCACGGTGCCCGCAGCCCCCCGAGGTGCCCAGCAGTCTTCCAACTGGTCTCCTTGGTGCTCCCATCTCTCAAACCCCTTTGTGAGATTGGCATTCTCTAATTATCACTTCCATTTTGCAACTCCTCCAGAATCTTCCAGAGTTGTCACCATTTGTAGGAATTTTGGCACTTGGACATCCCAGCCCCCTTCCTGATTTGGAGGACTCATGGGATGCAGCACCTCACCTTCCATCGCGAGAGCTGAATGGGGCTCCTCCTACCCAGGGTCCTCTGCTGGTCACAGAAGGGGCACATGACCCAGGTTGGCCAATCAGAACCTCCCACCCAGGAAGGACCAGAACTGATCTGACTTCCTGCTCTGGGCCCTCCGGATGCCTGGTGCTCACCTGTGTTCTAAGTCTGGTTCTCTACTGGCCCCCGCCCCTTGATTCTGTGAAGGCCCCAAATCCCTGGCCACTTAAGAGGGCTAAAGGTGACTTCTGTCGCTCGCAACCAGGAATCCTGACTGAGTCAGCTCCCTTGTCCCTACCTCATCGGATCCAGCTCACCGGCTTGGCCTTTGAGGGGCCCACACTCTGCTCCCACCTCTACCCTTAGCCGTCAATTTGCTTGGCCCTCTTGAGGTCACACTTTTCAGATTGTCAAGAGAGGGACACAACTTTAAATGTTAGGTCTCAGGTCCCAATAAAATAATGACATCTCCCTATATCCTAATATTTTGATGACCACACCTTTTTTTTTCAGGCTGCTTTTTACATCTGGAAGAAACACAGAACTTCACCAGCTCTTGTATGTCCTATCCTTTGGTTTGGGAAAATATGTTCCCCAAATCGAGTGCTCCTCAGTGGCCCCCGGCAGCCTCACTCCCCTTCCCGACTTACCCCACGACACCCATCCTCAGAAGGACCTGCCCCTCTGAGGCTCTGGCCAGCCTAAATCATCCCTCAGGAGCCACCCCGACTCCTGCTCCTGCTAAGATGTCTCCTCTGACTCCTCCACATCGTGTGGTCTCCCTTCTCCTTCAGCCTTCCTAAGACTTTCTCCCCATGTCCCACCATTTGTGGTAATAATGCCTGTCATTTGCTGCGGGCCTTCCCTGTGTCAGACCTGAAACCAAACAGTTTCAATGATTTACCACAATCACCTTATGAAGTACATATCATTACACCCATTTTAAAATTAAAAAAAAAAAGATTTTTTTCATTGATTTTTAGAGAGAAACATAGATGTGAGAGCACAACATTGATTGGCTGCTTCCTGCAGGCCCCCTACCAGGGATTGAGCCCCAAACCCCGACATGCGCCCTGACCAGGAATCAAACCAGCAACTTCCTGGTACACAGGACGACACTCAACCAACTGAGCCACACTGGCCAGGGCTCATTACATCCGTTTTATAGATGAAGAAACCGAAGCTCGGTGAGAGTAATTAGTACAGTGGCAAAGCCAGGACTCAAGCCCGTCTGTCTGACTTCTGAACTAGAATGTCAGCTGCGTGACGGGCGGGGCTTGGCCTCGCTCTGTGCCGTGACCCAGGGTCTGGAATGACGGCAGGCTCTCATGAGTGTGTGTGGAATTAACGATGCCATAAACCGTGGGTCTGATCGGGTCCTCTGTGCAGTTACAAGGGTGCACTGCGCACATCAGGAGGGTTACCAGCCACCTCGTATGCAGCCTTCTTTGGTGCTCTGGGCCCGGCCACGATGCTGCCTGCTTCTCAGCAGCACTGCCTTGCACTGTCTGCTTTATTTCATGGGTGCTGGTCGCCTTCCCCAGGATATTATTAGCACTTCCATCTTAAATGCGATAATCACGGAGGGTTCCCAGCAGAGCGTGGGACACAAGTGAAACCGAAGACGCATAGACATGCTTCTTATGCCCTCGGCCCCAAACACAATGTCAGTCTACATTCGGGACCCAGTGATTCCCCAGCCAATTGCACAGATGCCGCTTTTGTCGGCGGTGGGAGTGGATCACGGAGCACCATCCACCCTCCCCTTAGTGGAGCCGCTCCTCTGCCTCACCTCTGTGTTTATCCACGAGAGACCCACCATCCACCAAGAGCATGCAGACTCAGCCTGGGCCCAATGCCCGCCTAGACACTACCAAGACTGAACCCTGGGCCGTCACAGGCCACACAGAGACCTCTGGCTCAGACCCTCAGCCTCGCTCCATCAGCGACATCTAAGGGGCCAAAGAAAGGGCTGCACCCTCTCTGAGGCAATGGCCTTGCCAATGCCCTTTAACTGGAAAGTGAGCAGCCCAATCCTAGGGGCCCCAACTTGTCCCAGGCTTTCTCCAGGCTGTGCCTGCTGAGCTGGGCTGATCCTCGGGCTGGGGGGTGGGAGGAGGGACAGACTGTACTCCAAGCTCCTAGGAACCGGGTCCAGCTTGGCTCTGCCCACACCAGTGCGTGATGAGCAAGTTCCCTCCTCCTGGGGCTGCAGTTTCCTCAGGAGACAAAATACATAAGCTCACCCAGCACAGTGCCTGGCACCAAATAATCACTCAGTAAATACTAGTTGCATTATCATCTGCAAAATGAGGATTTGTGTCTCACCTGTCCTTATGCCACCAGCCCTAGCACAGCCCCTGAACACACGTGCTCAGAAGTGTCTGCTGAACAGAACTGAGACACCAGGGCCCTCTAGCGCCGGCAGTCTATGGTTAGAAACAGCCTCCACTCATCTGCCAACATGGACAGGACCCTCCTGGGTTTGGTGCTGGCCACGGAGAGATGAAATCCCTCCTCTAAATGTCAGCTCCGTGACAATCTGTTTTGGTTATTCCTGTACCCCAACCTCTAGCACAGTGCCAGGCAGCTAGTAGACTCTCAATAAATATTTACTGAATGAACACGCGACTGGGAAGTAGGTGATATTTCCAGAAAGCACCCCCCCCCCCACCAGCCCAGAGGCCAGGGCAGAGACTGGCTCCTACTGTCAAGCAGAGCTAGGCTGCCAGAGGGGCCGCATCCCTCCTAAGCCTGCCACTGGGCCTCCAGCCAGATCCATTATCTTTCCAGTCACCTGGGGCTACTCTAATTCTCAACCAATAAAGGGGACAGAGGCCTGGCCTGTGCTGAGCTCTGGGGGATGCAGTGGGGTTGATTGTGCAGCACCTGTCTGGGGGGCTCCCCACAGGAGACAGTAAGGGCAGCTCCTCTGGGCTTGGCTCTGGGTGCCCCACCAGCCGATCCTTGGGAAACTTACAGAGGCTGCTGCCTTTTCCATTATTGCCCAATGGCCCCATGACTACCTTCTGGGGGCTCTGTGTGAGGAGGGCAGAGAGGCCTCCCATCTGCATAGAAATTGGGGCTTTCTGGCCCCCCATCACACACACCCTGTGCTGTGGAGCCCCAGGCCACTCTGCCTGAGTCCTCCCCGGGGCCATGCCTGGCTCGGTGGTCTCCCAGATGGATGGGGA